GAAGAAGCGTTTTCTTTTCAGAGAGAAGTTGAACTGGACAGCAAGCATTTTGTATTTATCCCGGCTGCGGCGGCTGAATTTCCGATTGAGGCGAAAATGTTGTAGGCCCATGTGCTCAGATTTGGGTGCACGTTAAAGAACTCCAGGTGGTCGAAATTTCTGGAGCCCTCCACTACGGCGTCTCTCATAATCATATGGTGGTTCAGGGACGTTAAACCCCACATATCAATCAAGCATTTTGAATTTTAGCTGTTTTGCCAGGAAAACTTGACTCCAGTCTCTACCCCCCCCCCCCCAAAAAAAAACTGCCTTCACAGTCAGAACAGCGGGACTGAAAAGAGAAAACAAAAATGCTGCATCTTAGTAGGTAGTGTGCCTTTTCCTTTCCCCCTTATTTTCATAACTATGCCTCACCATCCTACCTTGAGCTGTACGGTCAAATAGATTGCAGAATTGAGCATTCAATCCACCCGCCGCCAATTTCCCAGAAACGTCGGAAGTCGTGCGACCATCGTGAACGGCGTATTACGAAAAAATATGGGCACAAAAAACAGCAAAAACTACTACCTTCTTCTTCTTTTTTGTTCAAAACACCGTTCACAATAGAATACCAAATCGCCCAATGTTCGGTTCTTCTAAGCTCTACATACCGTTTTGCCAAGCGACCCGACCCTCGCTTCTTCACGCATTACTCGCCACTGGTCTCGTCATCTCCTTTCTACCATCTCTATCTTGACCTGAAAGCAGAACGACCTCCGAAGGGCTTGATATTTCAGACACCACTTATACAATGAAAAAAACTTTCACCAAATTGAGTGCTTCTATCCGTTCTTAAAGTCTGTACCAAGCAAATTTTCCCAGCTCAATAACTACATTTATAAACAGTCGACAGAGACTACAGTTATTCATGTTTATTAGTACAGCTTACATTATATATCATAATAATTTATATGCAAAGGTACACCTCGAACCGGCGTTAGTTTATATGGAAAGCGGACAAATATTACTGCTTATATATGATGACAATACCAAAACAAATTTTGACCTGTTTCGTTTATTTATAACAATTAGCAAGTTTTTATAGAATAAGCCCGAAACCATGATATTTTTCACTATTGGATAACTAACCAGTGCTCCAAATATTAGTGTGGTGTAATTAAAATTACCGAAGTTATGTTAAGAAAAAGACTCTTAGGCTAAACAAGGCATTATCGGAATTTTCGCTGACGTTTACTGATGCATGTCCTGTAAAATCAGCCTATTATTGATAACCTGTGTACCCATAAACCCAACATTACCAATCTTAGCACCGCGTGACAAGGATAACACAGACGTTTCAAGAAGAGCTCACTCACCTGTTTACCGCACCACTGACCGTGGAGTCGTTCAGCACTCGCGCGATCACAATGTGTCGTTGGCAACCCGGAAACATCGCGCGATTAAAGTTCCCACAACTCTCTTCTGTCAATGAGACTCTTTGTTGCTGCTTGTAGTCACTTGTGGTACCTAGAAGGTGCACAGGTCGATTTCGTTTTCTCTAATGTGGCCGATCGCTTGCATCGGCTTGGTCTGCACCATGTCGGTTTTTAGGCAACGGCCTCCCGGCAGCAAGGCTCCCTACGTCACTTTAACAGCCAATGAATACCATTCAATTGAATTCAATCCATTTTTTATTCGCAATCTGTGAAACAAAAAGAAACATCACGACTGGTTGGACCCATAGCCGAACGCCAGTTGGGGGTCCAAAAAAAATAAATATCTAAGAGTTCCATGTACAAAAAAGATATATCACACGCATACGGATAGTTACCGTGCATTCTTAATTTGCACGAGCGATACAAAGGGAGAGCGAAAGTGTCGGTAAGTGCACGATTGTTTTTAACAGTTCTAACAGACGAAAACACAAGTAAAAAAGCAGATTGTTGCATTATCATGAAGGTTAAATTGTGCATGGCTAATACCGAAAACAAAAACCAAATCACTGGGTGACAATAGTATTTTTAACCGATTTCCCAAGTTTCTGGCAGACACACATGCATACAGATACACACACAAATGACATGATAATTGTTTTAAGTGATAAACATTGTTAAGTGTAAGTAAGTATGTCTTGAGCACTGATGAAAAATTATTCAACTGTTTTATTTCTGCTGGTGAATTATTCTAAATTTTTCGCCCTGAAAGCTGCAGCAAACGTTGTCCGTAAGTATTCTTAGTTGGAAGAAGATTGAAATTTCCATATATTTGATTTAAGGGTTACATGAGAGGATGTGCAAAATAAGGAAACATGAAAAGGCAGGTTGTTTTTAACAACATTAAAAACACACGTGGCAATTTTTAATTTGTGTACCTTATCATAAGGCAAAATATTCAATTTTATAAACAAAGGCAGACTCGGCTGATTGTAGCAAGATTGGGTGATTATTCTCAGGGCTCGTTTTTGAAGTTTGCGAACAGTTTCAGGAAACCTTTTATATGTCGTACTCCATGATTCATCGCAGTATGAGATGTGGCTGTGAATGAGTGAAATTTATGAAGTACGCAGAGTACTGGTATCAAGATGATGACGTGCTTGCGAAAGTGCATAGCATCCCGAGGAGAGCTTTGTACAAACTGCGTTTATTTGCTCTTGCCAGTGCAGAGTTTTATCAAATATCAAGCCAAGGTATTTCAATGACATGGCTTCGTGAAGTTGAAATTCGTTTATTCGCAAATCTAGTGATATAGAATGGATGATATTGTTGCGTAGTCGAACACTAAATATTTAGTTTTTTTTTTGACGATTATAGTAAGTTTGTTCTTCACGAACCATTCACTTGATATTTTTAACTATTTGTTTGCTTTAGTTTGCAGATCTTGAATGTTGCCTGCTGTTATAACAATACAAGTGTCATCGGCGTACATAATAACTTCACTAGTGTCTAAAATTTGTGGGAGGTCATTAATATATAATGAAAATAAAAGTGGCCCTTGGACGGATCCTTGAGGGACTCCTGTGCGCATATACTTTGGTAATGACGTAATATCGTTCATTCTAGCCACCTGCACTTGCTCATGAAGGTAGCTAGTCAAAAGATCTAATGGGCTACCGCGATAACCATAATGTTTTAGTTTATGTAAAAGTATGTTGTGATCTACCATGTCGAAGGCTTTTTTCAGGTCCAAGAATATGACACACACAAGTATATTACTTTGCAAAAATACATTAAGTTTTTGAGTAAGCGTTAACACTGCTGATGAAGTAGAGTGAGTTGGCTGGAAACCATGTTGCTGCGGGCAAATAACCTGATATTTTTGAATGAATTTTTGGAACCGGCTGATAAGAATTTTTCAAATATAATAATAATGGTACTTAGCAAGGATATTGGCCTGTAATTAGAAGGGTCATTGCGGTCTCCGTCTTTGTAGGTAGAGACAACCTTAGCAATCTTCAGCTTAAATGGATATCTGGAGCAGCTGACGGAGTGATTGAACAAGAGGCATAATATTGCTACAAATACATCTATATTTTCTTTGATAATTCGAATAGGAATGCCGTCTAGTCCAGAAGCTTTAAAGGCAGACATTTTATTAATTTCTGATATCACGTCTTCGGGCTCAATGTTATACATAACGAAGGTGTTGGGCAGAGGGCTCTGCGATATAGAAATGTTGTCCGAGTCATTAAGTTTTTTGGCCAGTGATGGACCAATACCTGCGAAATATGTGTTGAAATTTTCTACAACGTCTTCATCAATGGTTTCGGGAAGCACAGTCTGCTTACGTTGTTTAATTATAATTTCTTTTATAGTTTCCCACAGTTTTTTCGTGTTGCCAGCGGTCTGTCTAATTAGTTGAGTATAATACTGCCTTTTGCGTGATCGAATCAGCGACAGACTTATTCCGCTGAGCTTTCAATTGCTGTAAGTAGTAGAGATTGTCTTTGTTATGACGCCATTTGTCGTGACAGCATTCTTTGGCCTTGAGTGTTTGAAGTATCTGTTCAGTCATTGAAGGGCGCATAGGTTTATCATGGCGGCTTTTCTTTATCTTGCGATTACTCCTTTCTATACCGTTTTGAAGGTATTTGATTAAGTTATCAGTTTCGATGTCTATGTCCTCAATGTGTACTTCATTGTAGTTAATGCCACGAATTTTTTGGCGTAATAACTTGCAATCTATTTTGAATACTATGTTACTTTTTGTTTTCATGGTACCCGTAAGGGAATCTAAAACAGCAAATTTAGGTAGGTGATGAGAGATTGGCTCTACGTGAACGCCTCCGGTGACCCCCGTGTCCAGATTTGTCGATGCGTGGTCGATTAAAGACGTTGGTTCCCGAGTTATACGTGTTGGTGTCGTAATTAAGTTATGGTAGTTGTAAGACTGCAACGAATAGCCATAATCACTGTCTGTCACGTTGTATGTGTTTATGTTCATGTCACCTACTAAAATCACTGTTGTATTTTTGTGCCCCGACAAAACGCAGAAAATTGCTTCCAATTTATCAAGAAAGCCTGTAATATTACTGCTCGGAAAGCAGTAAGAAAGCCTGTGATATTACTATTTTTGTCCATGCTGTCGCCTAAATCATAATGTTCATTTCTTAAACTGTTCTAAATCATGAACACTTCATGAAAACAAACGAACGTGTTTATAATCAGAACAAGGAAAAGCGTCAGAAGAAGTTGATTTGATCATTCAAAATGTTTTATCACGCAAATGCTTTGGGATAATGATTTCGACTTGTATGAAAGCCCTGTTTTAGTTTGCCATGCATTTCACTGGTATACTAGAGCACAGTTCTGACAAATGGCGTTTATGATGTGGTAGTGCCTTGGGCAAGTATTTTCTTCTCAGATATTCCTAGCTTCAGCACGATTCCTTGCTTACCAATCACCTTCTTAAACTTGATCTCGACCTAATATGCCATTGTGCTACTCATGACCAAGTTGATGGATTCTTTGCCTGCACGCAGATCCCCCTTCCCACCAGCTCTGTTTTCTTTTTACTATGCGCAGAAAGTGGCGCAGAAGCACGGGCCACCAGATCCTGTTCAACCTTTGCCTTGCACTTGTTGGAGCCCTTGTCTCCTTTGTGGTAATGGCGAACATTCCCAAGCAACTTGCCAGCCTGGTCTCCTGCACGTGCGTGGGTGTAGCTCTCCACTACTTCTTGCTCGTGTCCTTCTCATGGACTTTCATCGAGGCCCTGCTGCAGTACCTTCGATTCGTCCGTGTTTTGGGAACATATGTGCCTAATCTCGTGCTCAAGGCAGCCTTCGGAGCATGGGGTAAGTGTTTGTAAAAAATAACAGGGGGGAGGAGGCTTACGCCAGCTGTTATATCAGAGTGCAACTGCTCACATTTAGCAGTTGATGATACATGCATTTATTGTACAACTCCAGTGATTCAAGTAGATGCATACTACCTCAGCTAGACATGCCAAACGTTGCAAACAGAGTGCTCCCGTAACCTTCTGCAAGCCAGCCTTGGCTACAGTGACACTACCAGTTATGACCGCTGGATAAATGACAACACATTGCACAAGCCGATACTTTACTTCATACACAACAGCAGCCCAACAACACACATTTAGTACACATAGACACACAAAATATCGAGCCTTAAGGGCACGTCTGTCGCAAAAAAACGCCCCGCTACATGTATTCATTACGTTATATATAAAACACCATAAACAGGCACTGTTAGTGCTATGACGATTAAGGTTTAAACAAATAGTGTGAAGTGGATGTCTTGTTGGACAGAAAGGCAGAAAGTAAATGTTAAAGGTAGGTGCAAATCTCACATAAAAAGATGAATATGAGCTAAAACGTAGCGTATAGTCGTTGCATTTTTGCCCCCTTGTTATGCTCGCAGTAGTGAGAACTGCTCATTCTCCCAATGGCTGCACCAGATTGAAGTGACATTTTGATAATGCAATTACTCTGACGTGCTTAGTGCATGGTTACCATATCAGATGAGTGAAGGTTGGTTGGTTACCACTGTGCTGCATTTAGCTTGTAAGTATTAGAGGACGCTCGAGCTTTGCCTTCAAGAGTAGAACACCATAGTGTTATCTGGTGCTCTGTACACAACGTTCAATCATTCCGTAAGAAGAAAACATGTCGTTGTGCCTATCATTCGTCAATCGTAACTATCCTATATTGCCTGGTGAGGTATAGTTTCGAAGAGCCCTCTACGCCATAATTAATTTTAGTGAATTCAGTAAGGACCCACTAGGCCTTCATGTGCCACGCAAGTCTACAAAACTGCACTCTTTGTTGTGGGTGTGCTACGTTAAAAGGGGCCTTAAACACTTTTTTGAGCAACCAATAAATTATTTCACTGGAAAAGCATATTACATCACAAATTCAACGCCGCGAAAATTTTAGGAATTTATCAAGTACGAGCGGAGTTACAAAAATTTGTCACAAGCTGCAATCACAACCTCTCTTCTCTCGTCCCGACGAAAGCTCTGGAAGCTGAGCAGATAGGAATGGGAGAGCCAAACAAAAAACGTCACTCAAGCTTCGTCAACTTGAGCATTTTTTTCTTTTTTTCTTCAAATACGCGGCTTTTCTCACTGCGATCGCGCGCGCACGCGTGGAGAAGTGACGGCCTCTCGCGGCGACCTCTGCAACAACCGAGCGCGTCATATTCTAATCAACCAATGACTGATAGGTGGTCTTACTGGCCTTATTTTCCGTGTTTTGTCCAGAGAAGAGAAAGCTACTTTTACCTGACTTTGATCATTTATTGCGAATTACAGGCCGCGTGCTGCGCTACAATAATTGGCTCGCATGTTGTCGAGAGCCTCTAGTGCAGATCAGTATCGTTTTCTGACCATGCTCAAAAAGTGTTGCAGGATCCCTTTCAATCAACCCTACATGGCACAAATCAGATGTTTTGATACCAGGTGCAATTCCACTCTTCTGCCTCGATGTTTTACATGCGTTCAAGAGACTCCTCCTAGCACGTGAGATTCTTAGGGCATAATTTTATGAAGCTGTTTGGAGCACTGGTGTAACTCTATGGTTGAACACCTGCTGGCCACGCAGAACGCCTGGGTTCAATTCTTTTTCGTACCAAAGGTTTCTGTAGTGCTGAATGATTTGCAAGTACTGTATGCCGCATATTCCCCCATGGACAACACCAATTTTTAGCTCACTACCAAAAAACACAAACGGATATCAATACAACAATTATTTCTAAAAGTAGCACTTTACTCATCGAGTTGATAGAAAGTAATACTCAAGCGGCTCAACGGGTCTGTGAGGTCATTGAACGAGTGGAAGCGCCAAATGCGTGCGCGCAACGGAGCGAGCTACTCGGCTACTCATTTCGTCTCTTCAGCAAAGCTTGCACAGCGGACGAGCGTGGAAGCATTTGCCAAGCAAAGCGTCTGCTCGATTTAAATTAACTTTAGCTTTTTAGGTTGAAAAAACAGCTCACAAATATGAGGACACAGAAACACGGTAGAGACACGAGCGCTGCATGTACAACTGAAATTTTTATTGCACCGACCACTCCTTTTACAGCGCGCCAAACTGAGAACACCTATCCTAACTACTCGCCAAACAAAACCATCAGGTAGGCAAAATACATGGTCAGCTGAAGCTATCAAGTGTGCATGATTTGAACCGCGCGCACGCATCTTGCGTTTTTACGTCATCGTGTTTTTTGCGCTGTTTAGCTTGTAGCTAACAATAAACGAACTTGCCCAAAAAGTCCTGCTTAACTTCAACCTTGTTCCACAGGTGGTGCAGCAATAGGCTCCACGAAAAAAAGCGGAGAATCACTGATCTGTTGCTCATATGTTTATTTTGCGCTCCACTGCTTCCTCAGCTCCCGCGCTGGGTCCGTTGGCCCACTAAGCCCCTTATAAATTACGCACTAGTACAGAGCAATAGCTGGGTGTCTTTGCCAGCCCTGTAAGCAAACAGACGACCACTGCTCATGCGCGGCCGGCCGGCACAGCCAGCGTTTTCACAAAGGGAGCCACTTGCCGCTCATTTTGTCTCCTAAGTAAAGCGCGTGTAACGAATGAGTGCTTTCCAAGTCAAGCGTCTGCTCAATTAGCAGCCACCTAAACGTTGTTCAACAGACCACACATCAGTGCAGTCCACTCAAACAATCTGGGCGTCTCTCAGCCTTTCGCTTTTTACTATAGATGGCTTCCACCTAATTCACTCAGAGTGACGGCTCTGGGCGCGCCGGCCGCATTGGTGACCAGCGGATAAACTATCAGCAGCGCTGCCTCACCGTACAGCCGAGTTTATTTCTCCGATGACGATATATAAGCAGTTGTACTCTGTTATAATCGTGGCGACCACTGCATAAGAAAAAAGCAGCCGACAAATAGTAGTTTCTTTCGAATACCACATTGTATTGAAAGTCAGCGTGGGTGTAGGAAATTGCTTCGCACAAATCAGCGAAGATTCTGGCTAGCTGGCGCACATAATGCGCTCAAGTTTCAACGAAGCAACCCCAAAGTTCATGTGTGTGGAGTGCATTCCACTGTAGGCAAGTGAACAAGAAAGGAGATATGAAGACACTAATCAACGCCGAGGCTCTTCGAATTCATAGTATACCTTTCCGCGTTTCAAGACACGAACAACCGAGACTGCATTCAAGCACGCATGCGATGGACAACATAGCACGCAGTCAAGAGTGTCACGAGAAGCAGCAAGTGGAGGTCGAACGGCGCCGAGCGGAGGCCAATGCGTCTAGAAGCCGAATACGGCTCACTTTCAATAATGGTCTGCATGCATGCAGGGGATAAACCATCAGTACTTGTTAACACACACGTACTAAATGGCTGATTGATATGGGGAGTTTAACGTCCCAAAACCACCATTTGATTATGAGAGACGCCGTAGTGGAGGGCTCCGGAAATTTCGACCACCTGGGGTTCTTTAACGTGCACCCAAATCTGATCACACGGACAAGCACGGGCAGGTCTTTCAGCGGTGCGAAGTAGGTCAAGTCACTTCTGCGCATTCAAGTCACTCGTCCTCACCCGCAGCTGCTGCTGGCTCCTACGCCCACTCGCAACACACTTCTCTCTCGCTTCACCGTCTCCACCACCCAACACGCTCGACCACAAGTCGAGTAGAAATAGTAGACAGATTTCGTTGCGCATCCGCAACAGCAATACGGACGCGGCTTCCCATTGCAAATGGCTCACAGGCGGCGTCCATACAGCTGTTGCAGACGCGTGAATAAAGCTGTTTACTCCTTCGGCACGTTTATCTTCGATGAAGCTTGCTCGAAGCCCAATACAACTTTCATGCATTTTCGTTTCAAACAAACGTTTACTCGAGTACAGGCTACACCAAGTTTAGTTTCAAACCGTTCTTCAAGCAGTCGCGTCGACACCCGCTTTAACCGGGTTAACGCCGAGCGCACCGCTGCTGCTTGGCGTCCAACCAGGCTTTGCCTTCGGGGAGACGGTCCCTAATTTCTAGGTCGCTCTACCTTCGATCATCAGTAACTTTGACCTTCATCAACAGGTGGCGTGGCAATGCGCTTCGTTGTTGAGTGCCTAGGTGTGTTCCTCCGGAACAAGGTGGAGACACTGCATTTATCTACCGTTTATTGGTTCAAACGCTCGCATTGACTGGCATGCCTACATAGATCGCGTCCAGCGAAATGCTCCGTAATTTGGCTCACTTTATCTTTTCTGCTGATAGAGCTTACACACGCATTGTTGTTAATAAATAGATTAGGCACTACTAATTAGGCACAAAACATTTAGTGGCGGAATAGAAGCACTTAGAGCGTATTTATCGGTCTGTTTGTCTCACTAGCTGCGTTGGTTTTCGTGCCCTCGCGGCTGATTCATTCAATTGACGAGCATAAAAATGACATGACATGAAAAAGACATGTTAAAACATGAATGACTGTTCATGCATGAAAATTCTAATATGCCATTATTTTCACCATCAGATAAGTTAATTGTTCAAGGAACTAGATGACTGTTTTGTGAATTTTATGTATACCAACAATAAAATGGCATCACAAGAGCATGACAAAATTTACAAGGCTGGTCATAACCCAAAAACCTTGTATTGCCTGTCGTATAAGCCGTGACGTACATCACCCGGTCATGGAGCGTTTCTGGACGCTTTACTAAAATAATTAACTTGACGAGGGCCAAATCTGACACGCCAATACACGAGTGAATGAAAAACATGAATGACTGGCCATATTCCAAAATGATTGTCATACAAATCACGTGCGCCATGACACACATATTGCAGTCGCATAAGGCTCTAGTTGCCATTTATGT